GTATGTGTTAGACATTGTGTTTGCCCTCCATATACATGCACATATCTAGATATGTTGCACGCTTTAAGGCAAGCCGGAAGCGCAAGTTTAAAAGGATATGCAACTTCTTGTTGATTATTAAAATATTGCCCAAGCTGTGCTCGCTGCTTATGCTAGAACTCGAAAGTGTTTGCAATGTAAGAAAATTTAATTAAGCGGAAGACACAATTGTTGTTAATTTAGCTAAGGGATTTTAGTAGAAGCTCTAAGATACTTGAGCCCAAATATGTTTTATATTAAATAAATGTTTCAAAAGCTTTTTCTTTTTGAGTAAAGACTTAATAGGAGAAAATTTATATTAATAAGTCGTGTAAAGTTTTAAAGAAATTACGCTAGTGTTTCGTAAATTCTTTAAGTTTGAGTTCTGCAAAATTAAAATATTTTCAAGGTCAGATACTTAATATAAATATCAACAAAAATCTATTGGCTAAGCGACAGGAGCCAAAAGGCTTCCTGGCTTAGTTATTATATGCACTCAATTCATTGTATATCTTTTCATTACATTAGTATTATAGACAGTATCTTTGTATGAATTTCAGCGCATCTTTGAACTGCTTAGATCTCAATGTGTTAATTCTTTAATAAACTTCTTAAATTACTATAAAGCTTAATGTGCACTGTGCAGAATTCACAATTGCATTTAAAGCGTTGATGTGCTTTTATTTTTAACAGTTGCAGACGAACAACCAAAACACACACACACTTTGCCTCGCACAGACACACTGTGTGGCATGCAGCTGCATTAAACAAGCCCTCGCTCAAGGCCCGCTCTCCCCAGAAACCTCCAAACCCAAACAACCGCCAACACTCATAAAACGCAACTTCAAACCAAACACTTTGCATATGTGTATTCTCTACATAAATGCATTTAAATATATATATGTATCCATATATGTATAGTATATATATATATATATATATGTATATATATATATATTCAAACGCGAGCGCAAAAATATATAAAAAAGAGAAGAGAGAAATCTTTTATGCGGCTGAAAGCACGCTTCAGTATAATTTGCGGTCATGTTCATTGATCTCCTGGGAAGCATTAAAATTTAATGATTTATATTATGAAAACCGTTGGGGCAAAGCCGCTTGGCAAATGAATTTATGTAATGTCTCTGCTGCGTTATGCTTTAAGGGGTTAACATTTGTGAAATTAACAACAATTTGACTTATGCGCGGGCGTAAATGCCGGCACACACACACACACATTCCCAAGGAGGCTACAATAGCTGCGCCCAAAAGTATGCTAAACAGCCCAAATGAAGCCAGCAAAAGTCATAATTCAGCTAGCGAGAGAGAGAGAAGGCGGTAGAGAGTTGGCGTAAGAGGGACAGAGCGAAGCTCTGGGCCAAGACTTGGCGAAAGGTAGCGAGAAATGTGAATTTGGACCCGCCTGCAACTATTAATCAGGCTTTAATTGTTATGCGTGTGTGTGTGTGAGTGTGTGTGTTGTTGCTTACATTTGTATGTGGGGCAAACAGTCAGACAGATAAGTAGAGAGGGAGAGTGGAAGAGAGGCAGAGAGGCAGTCACACGCGCTCGGTTGAGGCCCATGCATCATGCGGCCAAAATCTTTTTGTAATCTCTGGCATTTGTCTGGATTTTTCGTAAAGTCTTTGAATAGATTTATGCGCCTTTGACAGGCACAAGATGTGTGCTGCTTGTTACTCGTGTTAGCTAGGTTGAGCTTAAAGTATCTTAAAGATATGGCTACTGCCAAAAACTTGCTAGCGATACGCTCAAAACTTAACAGTGTTTCACCTAAACCCAGTCGGCTATGTGAGGGCCTTGGCAATTAAGGCAAACGAATTGCGAATGCTCTATGAAACACAAAAGCAAAGAAAAAATTTGGTAAATAGAAAAAAAATTTATTTCTTTTATTTTTGACTATTTTGGTAATCGAGCATGTTTGGTTGAGACGGAGAAAAAAAAATAAATAATTTAGCAAAATATAATTAACTTCAATGGATTAAAGATTTCATAGCAAATAGTTAGAAAATCTTAAAGTATGTTATGTATTGAAAAGGTTATAAAAGACGATAACGATAACATTTGATATACTAAAATCATTTGTAGTCAACTCTGTTCGGTGACAGACGCAGTATGAAAGATATTGCCTTTTCATTTCAAATCAAAACATCTCATTGTTACTTAAACGGTAAATAGACGTAAATATTGAAATATCGATAGAAATTTATGAAAAAAAATCATTGATCGAATCGATTTCTAAAAATTGAGGTTATGGTTAGGTTAATTAGTTTAATTGCAGGCAAGCCATTTGAAATGAGAACTAAACTAAGCTAAAAACTTCAATCGCACTGACAGACTTCTATAATTTCTCCAAATTGTACAGTTATTTTTGTAAAATCGATATCCACTCAAAAGCGTATCGATAACACCTTCTGCCGCTGTTGTGTCATTTCTTTTCAGGTACAGCTAACAGCAAGGAGCAGCTGCAGAAATTATTGTGGCACAAATCTAAAAAATGCCAAATGCCAAATTGTATGTAAAGGCTTATAAAAATTGTACACTACAAGCTTGCAGTGGCCGACTGGAAGCTCTTGTAACGTCACTGTTGTTGCTGTTGCTGGCAACACTCTGGCAACTCTCTGGCTGTGACAACGGCAAAGCCCCGACAAACACTTGCCGAGCGAGCCGTATGCCCAGTGCAAGTTGAAGTGGTTTTTGCGCTGTGGTTTTGCAATCGTCTGTGTTTGTGTTTTTGTTTTACGTTTACTATTTTTTCTTTTTTTTTTTTGCATTATTTTGTTCTGCACGTGTCTGCACATGCTGCGGTCAAGGGTTGTGCTGGTGTTGCCAAAGTGTTGCCATATATTCTAAATATGTTGGTCGGCAGCTTGTCCAGTTGGCTTGGGCCACTTTGCTGGCCAGCCAAGCCAGCCAAGCTGGCCAAGCTGGCTGGCAACGCAGTCCACACAAAAGTGGCCCAAACGACAGTTAAACGCAAAAGCGGCTAAAACGGGGCTCTAAAAACCACTTGGCAGCTAAACGCGTGATTTATGCCGCAACTATGATAAGAGCAGCCCAGCCACAAATAAAACGGAGCTTAAAGGTGCAAAACTAAAAGATATGCAAAACAACAATAAAAAAATACCTACCTTTATTGTCTCTAACATTTTTCAGGAGTTTACTTAACTGGAAAAAATATTTATCCTGACTAGGTAAAAATTATATTTACAAAGTAAGACTGTCTATAGCATGAAAATAAAAATTTTAATATTATTAAATTATATTGGGAAAATATATTAGATATTTTAATTTCTTGATTTGATGGCACAAATCAGTTTAAATCTACGACGTATGTACATATAAAAAAAAAACTCAATAAATGAAACAGAATTTTGTTACATTTTATTTATTTCTTCTTCACTCTTATAAAATTAAATCTATTTATTTGTATAAAAAAATGAAATAAACATTAAATTTAATAAAATTTCGGTTTCATTTACAATAATTCATAACATAATTTAAGCTTAGTTTTTGTCTATAAATACGTTACTAAATATTACAAATTGTACAGAATTCTTTATTAAAAAAAAAATAAACAAAATTTAGATTGTTATTTTCTATATTTTCATTATACATAAATACAAATTTGTATCTCGACTAATTTCTTTTACTGTCTAAACATTTGTAGACAGATTTGTGATAAAAAAAGCTAAACTTCAGCTTCATTGAACTTGCGTCTATCTGCGAATCGCTTAGACTGTCTGCCTATGGCCAATAAGGCAACATTTTATTTGTTTTTGGCGCATAAATAATCAGAGAAACACAAACACAGACGGCGAAAGGGGCGGGAAGGAGCTTTTGGTAAAGGGCAGACAACTTGGCAAACAAAATACTTTTATATGGCTATGTGAAACTGCACAATAGATAATAACGTTTAATAAAAACATAAAAACAATGGCAGTCGACAAACAAAAGTAAAAAAGTATGAAAAAAATAAACAAGAAATAACATAAATTACCAGACACCAGAAAATTTAATGTTTTCTTTATGTGTTTTCCACAAACATTTGCTTGGTTTGTTTTTTCGTTTGGTAAATATTGATTTTAAATTACGAATAGTTAAATCGTTTGCACTTAAATATAATAAAAAATATTAATAAATAAATTTGAAAAGAATTTAATGTTAATTTAGAATTTCGAATTTTTTTTTTGAAATTTCCAAAAACTCTTCGATGACTTTTTTCAAACAGTTCATACTAAAATTATATTGACCATTGACATGAGTACAAAGTGAATATCTTAAACCAAACCTCAGTGACTTGTACGCAGCCCTCTACACCTTTAAGCCAAATACCAGTGAAAGACAGGTAGTCGACGTTTAGCCAAGCACAAGGAGCACACACATTTTTTTGTTGTTGTGTTTGTGTTTTTGGTTAACATGGCACGCCTTCTTTGTGTATGCAAGAATCTGCGCTCATTACATTGGACTAGGCTAAAAATATGCAAACAATGCTAGACAAAAATTGGATCCCTGCTTGTCTTGTACAAAAAGTTGAGTTGAGTTGAGGGGTTGAGTCGCAAGGGGTAAGAACAAAGGCGAAAACCTTTCACCTACAACACTGCCGAAGCTCCGGCTCGGGTTAGAGCAATACTCACAACAAAACAATGGCGCTCATCAGCAGAAACGCAATGAAAATTGGAAAAAGCTCTAACTGTGTCCCTCGCCCCCTTCACTCACTCTCGTAACTCTCTGCTCAGCAATGCAAAAGAAATGGCAAATATTGAATTGAAAAGAAAATGTTCCCACACACACAGAGGGCAGAAATCAATGCCTGCTACAGCAGACAAATACCTAATAGCTTACCTGCCATAGCTCATTGTTCACATTGTGGGCGTGGCAAGTGGCATTGCTGCTGCTACTATCCATGAACATTTGTGGTTTGCCTCTTTTATTTTCATTCCAATTTTTTTGTATTATTTTTTTTGTGTGCAACGCAACAAAATACAACAGAAAGAGAAAAACAACGCAACTAACGTATGACTGGCTCGCCATCCAGTTTCTTGAGATTGGGCAAACGGCGAATAGCCTCAGCGATAAACGCCGCCGGATCCATATTCTCACTCAACGGATTTCCAACGAACGTTATGTCGCTCAGCGCGGGCGGCACTCCCATGCGCGCAACCTCGGACCAATCTTTGACCAAATTGTGTGATATGTAGAAGACCTTGAGCGCCTTCATCGCCTCTATATTTTTTATCTTCTCTATATTATTATAGCTCACCCATAGCTCTTCCAAATTGTCGGCCAGCACCTCGATGCCATTCAGATTCTTGAGGTAATTGCGCGTCAGGCTTAGCACACGCAAATTTTTCATGCCCGCCAAACCGCTAATCTTGTCAATCATATTCGAGGAGAGGCTCAGCTTCTGGCACTCCACCAAAGTGCTTAGGGTCGCATCCATTTTCTCAATGGGCGGATACTGGAACTGCAAGCCGATATCCAGGGCCGTAACGGCCTCCTGCTTGGTGCGATCCTCCCAGCGTGCCAGCGCATCCTTAATTGTTGTCGGCTTGGACATGTTTATTACAAATTTTCATTGAAATATATTTGCTAACCAGTTTTCAAGTGTCGACTAGGAATTTGAGGCATATTTTTTTGGTTTTTGGCCTACAAATTCAAGGCTAGTCGGAGTCTATTATATATATAATGAATACTTAGTAAATGGAATAGCAGCTATAAATGGTTTAAGATTCAATAAATATACATATATATTTAAGTCTGAGACTTCAAGGAGGCAATTTTCATATTTTAAGTAATTAAAATAATATAAAATAAATAATAACTAAATAAATATAAAGAGTAATATATATATATACAAATATTTTTATTTTTTATACATAAATATACATATTTATTATTAAAAAATATGCATATTTTTCTTTAGTGTGAGATTTCTTTGATATTTATTATTTGTACTATGAAAAGTGTCTGGTCCAGTCCAAACTGGGTACAGAATACACAGCAGCTCGTGTGGGCTTCAACACAGCTCGACAGCACTACCTCCTCTTCTTGTCCATTTCAAACTGATCTATTTTATTTGATCTATGAAGCGCAGCTAGCTCACTCGGAAAGCGAGCATAGGAGAGCGAGCAGCGGGAGAGCAGTTAGAATTAGCACAACACTTCAACTCTCACCACTCCAACTGCTGCTCTTCAAGCTTAGTCTCAAATGGGTGCAATCTCTTTGCATCAATTTACAACTTCGATTAAACTGCTCAAGTAGTTGTAGCTCTAGTAGTTGTGACGATATAATGTAGAATTCAAATTTCTGATATAGTTTTCACCTATATCGTTCTTGGTTGAAAATCTAAGTTACCCTGGCACCGCTCTCTGTTGCCCACTTCTCTCTGCTTGTACCTTCGGTTGGCCCTTTAAATGTAATTTATTTATTTGTCTCAATGTTTACTTGGCTTTTGGCTGCTCCCCAAGCTCTGTCTGGCACACGCTGATAACTTCATTGGCAGCGCCTTTTGTTGCAGTCTGTTTAGGCCCGGGCAAAAGGGGACTTTGGACTCGAGAGAGTTCAGAGATTGGCGGGGACACAGCAGCTACCCAGTTGCCATATGCCACATAGTCGTCTGCGTTTTTTAATGCTCTCCTTTCTTTATTTATTTCATTTTTTTTGTGTCATGTTTGTATAGTTGCGCGTGTGTGTGTGTGTGTGTCTGTGTGTTTTGTGCTTTGTGCCAGGACCTCCGGGGAGTTTATTACACATATTTGAGGTGATAATACAGTTTGCCATGCCCTTTTCGGGGCGTGGCTGAGGGTCTGTGTCTGCCCGTTGTTCGTCGAACTGGTCTCTTTTTTCAGCAGCAGCAACAGCAGCCAGACAATTATTTAACTTTACACAAATTTTTTCTTTCATTTTGGCCTTCATTTCAACTTTAAATTGAGGCATTTTATTTAATTTATTTAAATATTTGTTAGCAGCTGTTATCGCAGCAACTGCAACAAATTTTTCGCCCATAAATTATTGAATTTATTGATGCGGCTCCATAAAATCAGACAAAAATAATATGAAATGCCAGAGAAAAATACATTGCTCCACATACTCACATGGCGCACGTTTTTGATAATCGTCCAGAAATTTGCCAAAACATATTTGACTTATATTTTTTGTAATGCTCTAGGTTGTTTTCTGCTTCTTCTTTTTTCTTCTTTCATATATTTTTTTTTTTTTGAGTGCCAAATGAAATTTGGGCGCTCATAAATTGCGTGCTCAATGCGGCAGAACTGACAAACATATATATAGAGAGACTGAGCAAGGGAAGGAGAGAGAGGTGGAGATGGAAATGCATATAAAGTCTAATTTATGTGTTTAATGGTTCAACTGCCGGCTAGAGAGGTGTAACCAAAGTCAGCTAACATATGATATATGAAATTATCTTTTGGACACTTTTAGAGCAGTAATTGAATTGTCAAAGGTCCACTTGAGAGTGAAGGTACAAGGCGTGAATTGAATTGAAACCAAGCCAATATTTCTAATTAGAATTAGAATAGAAATGAAATAAAAACAAAATCTATAATCAGAAATCTATAGACTCTACGATCACAGTTGAATTGTATAAATTATTTTCTGTTTCCAATAAGAATGCCTAGCAAATTGATATTCCATCTTATAGTTCAATTCGAACTGAAATACCTTCGTGCCTTCGTTCAACTCACAGCAAATTCACCTAAATAAGTGCGTTTAATTTTGAGTCCGTCAATGACAACAATGAAATTCGTCCAGACATATGCATGGCTCGTGAACTGAATCAGAAAAAAAAAAAAAAACAAAAACCAAATTCTCGGAGTTCTAGTTAGCAATAGGCCAGGCCAATTCGAAGGCCCAGCTACGCATGCAGCGTATACAAAATGCATTTCGACAATTAAACAGCTGGGAGAGCGGGTGAAGTGCAGGGCATTTGGGGCTAGGGCGTAGCCTGGCCTGGTAACCGACGACAAACCCAGCTAGGAGCGTCCCATATGGACACATGCATTATCACTCACATGGAACAAACATACAAAACCGAGCAATAGCTGCTGTGCCCATTCTCTCTCTCTCTCTCTCTCTCTCTGTGTGCGTGTGCGTGCGTGTGTGTGTGTGTGTGTGGTAGCCCGAGAAGCCACAACATGTCCTGTCATGCAGCACAGGACGTTGAGCAGCGGTAACATGCGGTAAACGTTACAGTTGTTGACAGTCGTGTTTGTACTGTTTAGTTTCAGTTAACAAGCGAGAGGCGACATAGCCAGAAAAATGGAAAGGAACCAAGAGTGTGGCGTGGGGGCTGTTGGGCCAGCGAACAATGCCGAGCTGAACTGTCATCTTTTTGGTGTGCAATTTGTTAAATGAATAGCCATTAAATTAAAGAGCGATTTTATAGTGTTGTTAAATGCACCAAATATAACAGCAATGTCCCTCGCTCTCGTTCGCTGTCTCTCTCTCTCTGTCTTTCGTCCGGTCTCTTTTCAGCACTCTTTGAAAAGTTGTAGTTGGCTAATGAGCTAATGAATAGCTATGAAATACATGAACTTTAGTGTTGTAAAATGCTTTTGACTTTGGGAGCTAAACTGCTCGTCTGTGCAGCTATTTAGTTTTTTTGCTCTCTTTTCTTGAACTATTTCAATGTAATTTTTATAATTTTAGTGCTATATACATTTATTTTTTTATTTTGTTTTTTTTTTTTTTTTTGGCAAATACTGAAAATACATAGCTAAAAAATTTATAATGTTTTAAAATGCGTTTTGAAAGCTCAGTTGCTTATCTACTTATCTCTTTCTCTCTATCTCTCTTGTGCTATATAATACACTTTAAGTGCTATCAGTTATTAGATATATTAGAAGCTGAGCTTTAGTGTTGGAAAATATTAAATAATTAAAATTAAATATTGAAAAATTAAAACAAATTGATTGTGTTCAATGCTCCCATGTTTCGCTTGACCTCCAGACATATATTTTTTCATTTAGTTAAAGTGAACAAATCTGCGCAATAAAGTGGTCTCCAGTGTTGCAAAATGCAGCAATTTACATGGCCCACTTAATGCCGAAAAAACGAAACTTTGCAACATTGCGCATACTTTTACTTTAAACAACTCACACATAAGTCACAAAATGCACCCAAGTAGACAATGTAACTGTTCTAGTTGTTCTTGTTGTTGTTGTTGTTGTTGTCGCTGTTGTCGTAAAACTTTTATGTATGAAAATATTTTTCTCCGTAAAACACCTGGCCGCAGCAAAGCAACAAAGAGAGAGAGAGAGAAAGATAGAGAAACTGAACGAGATAGCGACAAACCGTTGCATATTGAAAACTTTGCATTTAGCAAACAAACTGAGAATGAGAGCAAGAGCAAGAGCGAGAGGTAGAGTGTGTGAGAGAGAAAGAGATAGTTGGGTAAATAGCTGATAACGACAGTGAGGAATAAACTTATATACAAAGATTGTAACTGGCAAGTATTTTCAAGGTAGTCTGCTAAGCATAAAAATCCAAGCAAAAAAATCTTTACAAAGTCTGGCAAAATGTTTACAATGAATGCTCACATGATTGAGGATTACATACGTAAACTTTCAGCTTAAAGTTGAGTACTTTATAAGCCAAAAATGTGATAAATAACAATCTTAAAAGTGGTATAGTATAAGTCCAAGTTGTATATATAAATATCTTGTCTTAAGCCATTAACTATTTAGAATTATTTTCGTGCTACAAGATAAGAACTACATATGCATGTATTATATACTTAATGAACAATTATAAAATAATATAAAAATGAATTCAAATTATATATATGATAACATATATTTAAAAATAAATTTAAGTATTTAAATACAAATGAATATCTAAAAATTCCATTAGATAAAATGCTTTAATTTGTCAGACCAACAAGTTTTAGTAACTATACTTTTCGGAAACGTTTTGATGTGTTTATTTTTAATGCGAATTTCAGAATAAGATTTTTTAACTAAAATAAACCAAAAGTGCAAAAAAAAAAACAGTTTTGAAGACTATTTCTTAATTTATTTTTTGATTATTTTATTTATTTTCTTACAGCTTCTGCAAGTGTCAAAACATTTTTTTAAATCTTTTAATACATTTTATTTATAAGAGTTAAAGCTTATGCTTAAAGAGACTTGCTGAAAAAGCTGCATAAACAACAGTGAGAAAGAGGTAAGTGAAAAAAGTTATAACTCTTAGACAGATAAATTATAAATAAATTATGAATAAATAAGTAAATAAATAAATAAATAAATAAATAAATAAATAAATGAAAAAATATTTAAAAAGCTTTTCGGATGCAAGAAGTTCTATGTAGCAACACTTTTAATACTTAAATAATATTCTAAAAAAATTATAATTTTACAGTACATTAAATGTTCACAAAACTTGTATATAAGTTGCTTTTCGATACATTTTGATCAGCAGTTTGTATGCGCCAACTTACATTTATTATTTATTTTTAACTAATATTTATTGATACTATATTATAATGAAATTAAGCAATTGATTAATAAAACTAACTTTTTTCAATGGCTTCAACAACTATGCCTTGTTTACATCTGAACAACTAACCAAAACTAAGATGTTCAATTAATTGCGAGCCTCTGAAAGCATGCGTGTGTGCTTACATAGGTACATGTATGTATTTACGA